GGAGAGGAGAGGAGAGGAGAGGAAAGGAAAGGAAAGGAAAGGAAAGGAAAGGAAAGGAAAGGAAAGGAAACATGGTCCTTTCCAAGAACAAATTCCTCATAGATAAAATGGGGGGTGGGAGGAGGAAAGGGTGGGGAGCAGGGCTCAGCACTGAGGAGAGCCAAGGTCTTGAAGGGCTTTGTAAAATCTGTGAAGAAGTTTGGCTAAGCTAAGTTCATATGAGAGTTTGAATTTAATTAGCAAAAACAATTTCGTTAGAGAACAAAGACACAGTAATCCAAATACTTTGGGGCAGCGAAAGTGTTGAGTGAAAGGAATTATCTACAGAGGCTATAAGGGTTTTTTGTGGGTCTTTTTGGAAAGTGTTAGAACTGTCCTTTGCACGGTTTGAAGCAGGGGTTGGCAACCTTTCAAAGTGACATGTCTCTTGGGGGTCACTGTTCTGCTACTTAGTCCTGGGGTAGGATGTGGGGTGCTGAATTGGGAAGATGGCACTGATCACTGCATGCTGACCTGGGAAATGCTAGCGCTTTCCTTACAACAACCTTATGAGGGAGGCGCTGTTATTATCCCCACTTAATAGATGAAGAAACTGAGGCTTAGAGAACTCATGTAACTTTCACAAGGTCACAGAGCTAACAAGTGGAGGGTCCAGGATATAGGCCTGGCTCCTGCCCATTAGGTTGCCCTTTATCACGCAGCTATTCCCCATGGGTGGGAGTGAAGCGCACACTGTCAAAGGGCCTGCCTTATGCGAGTTAGTGAATTGATCACTCAGCCAGTCAACAAGTATGCACTGAGCAGCTCCCCCAGGAACTAGGCACTGAAGAGAGAGTGACAGGCAAGCAAAACAGAAGCAGGCTAAGGGAAGACAGGCTTTTTATACCAACTGTAACAAGTAACACATTAGGGACATAAAGAGATACAGAGCGTTATGGGTATTTAAGTGAGGACACACCCTTGTTTTTCACTGAAAATGTGATAACTTCTTACCTCCAGATTCACTTGCTAGGAGATATCACAGTCCATTCCACCTCTACTGTTCTGTGATACTATGATAAACTCACAGAGGACTCGATAACCAAGGAATGTCTACTATTAAAAAGATTAGTCTTCAGTGGTTGAGGGAAATGGATTCCTGACATCTATCTCTGCAGTCATTCTAAAAAACGGGCACTCAGATCGGTCATTGTATTTGTCACACCAGCTGACGGTGGCATAACATCTACAGTCGTGGTTCTAGACCTTCCTCAGTCCCATGAAATCTCCATGTGCTTTGCTTCTCTCAATAATAATCTGGAGTGTCTGGGTTCTGAGAAACGGTTTAGCAGAGTGTCTAAGGATGAGGGTCCTGGAATCCGACCGCCTGTCCTCAATTCCTGGTGCTGCCAGTTCCTGTGGAAGCCTGGGCAGGTTATTAACTTCCCTGTGCCTCAACCTCCTCACAACAAAATGGTGTGAATAACAGCAGCTACCCTGTGGTGTGGCTGAGGCATTAAGCAAATTTATATATATAGGGTGTCCCCAAAAATGTATTCAGACACTTGGAGTCATTCTAAAGGCAGTGTTTTTAAAATACATTTCATTTTCAAAATTGAGCTCTCAGCTGTTATAGTGTGTGTACATTTTGGGAGACACCCTGTATATATATACATGCTTAGAACTAACGTCCTGGACACAGTAGCATCCAGGGCGAGCTCTGAAAGCACGTCGCTGAGCTCTCTCGCTGGCCTGGGCCTGCTGTGTGTTACATTCGGTTGCCATGACACAATGTTGTGTACTGTGCTTCCTCACGGGGTTCTTCTCTCCCCAGAGCTTAACTTATTTCCAAGGTACAAAGTTGTCTTGTGATGCACTAAGTGGCACCTTAGTGGCCTGAAAAATTAACACATCTTTAAAAATCCAATTTTTTACCGTGACTTAGGCATCACGGAGAATCTGTTTGAACTGTGAACAGGAAATGGGATTAAGAAATGTCAGTGTTTCCACATGATGAACTGTCTAAAGAACTGCTGAAAAACGGTGCGCAGGATAAACCTGGGAGAATTAAGTTACATTAGACCTTCAGAAACAGCTGTAATTTCTAGCCTCAAGCAAATGTCCATTCGGAAATGCCCATAGAAGCAACGTCATACACTACAGGGAAGACTGATGCTTTAAGTGGAACCTAGAAAATGCAGAGGGTTTTGACACAAATCAGACAACATGAATAGCTTTGGCTAAGAAAAATTGTTTGAAAAGATACTCTAATAATGTGTGTGTATATATATATATACACACACACACACACACACACACACACACACACACAAGATAGAACCTGAAAAGAGATTAATTACACTGCACCATTAAAAGAGATTAATTACACTGCACCATTTATACCTATAATGACTACCTTAAAACATACCCTCTTCCCTTTCTAGGTGGAGATCACATGTTGAAACAAATGGGAGGTTATGTTTTGCC